TTAGTGGAGCAGTTCTTTCCAGTGTAGCCTTGAACACATTGGCAATTATAATCAGCTACTTGATCAGTACAGGTGGCACCATTTTGACATGGATTAGGATTACAATCGTTTATATTAGTGGAGCAGTTCTTTCCAGTGTAGCCTTGAGCACATTGGCAATTATAATCAGCTACTTGATCAGTACAGGTGGCACCATTTTGACATGGATTAGGATTACAATCGTTTATATTAGTGGAGCAGTTCTTTCCAGTGTAGCCTTGAACACATTGGCAATTATAATCAGCTACTTGATCAGTACAGGTGGCACCATTTTGACATGGATTAGGATTACAATCATTTATATTAGTGGAGCAGTTCTTTCCAGTGTAGCCTTGAGCACATTGGCAATTATAATCAGCTACTTGATCAGTACAGGTGGCACCATTTTGACATGGATTAGGATTACAATCGTTTATATTAGTGGAGCAGTTCTTTCCAGTGTAGCCTTGAGCACATTGGCAATTATAATCAGCTACTTGATCAGTACATGTGGCACCATTTTGACATGGATTAGGATTACAATTGTTTATATTAGTGGAGCAGTTCTTTCCAGTGTAGCCTTGAGCACATTGGCAATTATAATCAGCTACTTGATCAGTACAGGTGGCACCATTTTGACATGGATTAGGATTACAATCGTTTATATTAGTGGAGCAGTTCTTTCCAGTGTAGCCTTGAGCACATTGGCAATTATAATCAGCTACTTGATCAGTACATGTGGCACCATTTTGACATGGATTAGGATTACAATTGTTTATATTAGTGGAGCAGTTCTTTCCAGTGTAGCCTTGAGCACATTGGCAATTATAATCAGCTACTTGATCAGTACAGGTGGCACCATTTTGACATGGATTGGGACTACAATCATTTATATTAGTGGAGCAGTTCTTTCCAGTGTAGCCTTGAACACATTGGCAATTATAATCAGCTACTTGATCAGTACAGGTGGCACCATTTTGACATGGATTAGGACTACAATCATTTATATTAGTGGAGCAGTTCTTTCCAGTGTAGCCTTGAACACAAGTGCAGGAATAATCAGCTACTTGATCAGTACACGTGGCACCATTTTGACATGGATTAGGATTACAATCGTTTATATTAGTGGAGCAGTTCTTTCCAGTGTAGCCTTGAACACATTGGCAATTATAATCAGCTACTTGATCAGTACAGGTGGCACCATTTTGACATTGATTAGGATTACAATCGTTTATATTAGTGGAGCAGTTCTTTCCAGTGTAGCCTTGAACACATTGGCAATTATAATCAGCTACTTGATCAGTACAGGTGGCACCATTGTGACATGGATTAGGACTACAATCATTTATATTAGTTGAGCAGTTCTTTCCAGTGTAGCCTTGAGCACAAGTGCAGGAATAATCAGCTACTTGATCAGTACACATGGCACCATTTTGACATGGATTAGGACTACAATCATTTATATTAGTGGAGCAGTTCTTTCCAGTGTAGCCTTGAACACATTGGCAATTATAATCAGCTACTTGATCAGTACATGTGGCACCATTTTGACAAGGATTAGGATTACAATCGTTTATATTAGTTGAGCAGTTCTTTCCAGTGTAGCCTTGAACACATTGGCAATTATAATCAGCTACTTGATCAGTACAGGTGGCACCATTTTGACATGGATTAGGATTACAATCGTCTATGTTTGTGTTGCAGTTCTTTCCAGTGTAGCCTTGAACACATAGGCAATTATAATCAGCTACTTGATCAGTACAGGTAGCACCATTTTGACATGGATTTGGACTACAATCGTTTATATTAGTGGAGCAGTTCTTTCCAGTGTAGCCTTGAGCACAAGTGCAGGAATAATCAGCTACTTGATCAGTACAGGTGGCACCATTTTGACATGGATTAGGACTACAATCGTTTATATTAGTTGAGCAGTTCTTTCCAGTGTAGCCTTGAGCACAAGTGCAGGAATAATCAGCTACTTGATCAGTACAGGTGGCACCATTTTGACATGGATTAGGACTACAATCGTTTATATTAGTTGAGCAGTTCTTTCCAGTGTAGCCTTGAGCACAAGTGCAGGAATAATCAGCTACTTGATCAGTACAGGTGGCATCATTTTGACATGGATTAGGACTACAATCGTTTATATTAGTTGAGCAGTTCTTTCCAGTGTAGCCTTGAGCACAAGTGCAGGAATAATCAGCTACTTGATCAGTACAGGTGGCATCATTTTGACATGGATTAGGATTACAATCATCTATGTTAGTGTTGCAGTTCTTTCCAGTGTAGCCTTGAACACATAGGCAATTATAATCAGCTACTTGATCTGTACAGGTAGCACCATTTTGACATGGATTTGGACTACAATCGTTTATATTAGTGGAGCAGTTCTTTCCAGTGTAGCCTTGAGCACAAGTGCAGGAATAATCAGCTACTTGATCAGTACAGGTGGCACCATTTTGACATGGATTAGGACTACAATCGTTTATATTAGTTGAGCAGTTCTTTCCAGTGTAGCCTTGAGCACAAGTGCAGGAATAATCAGCTACTTGATCAGTACACGTGGCACCATTTTGACATGGATTAGTATCACATTCATTGATTTCTATGGAGCAATTTCTTCCTGTATAGCCGTCTAAACAAATACATGAATAGTTTGCTACTTTATCCATGCAAGAGGCTCCATTATTGCAGGGATTAGGATCACAGTCATCAATATTATTTGAGCAATCATCTCCAGTGTATCCTTCAATGCAACCTATATTAGTGAATCATAATACAATAACTGTGATTATACCTCTGGAGGCAGAACTTACTGCAAGTGTAATTGTTTTCATCATTGGCAATAAAATTTGTACCAGATGATGAGCAGGACAGTGTATTACTACACTGACCAGAAGAAGTGAATGTCAAGCAACAATCATTCGAGCTTGATCCGTTACACCTCATCAGTCCAGAATTACAAGTACTGTGACATTCTAAAGTGAGTCTAGCTCAAGTAGTATGATGATAATATATTGTCTTACCTACGCATCTGTCATTACCACCACTATTCCTGCAATCAGAACAATCAATTCTGGGAGCAGCACCAATAACACTAGCATGAGGAGTGTCTAGTCCACCATATCCATACCAGCCCCCACTGACACATCCCATCTGAAATATACTAGTAGCTTCAGGCTGTCCTGGATTGGGAGTGTATGTTGCTACCAATGAGAGACTTGTATATGTATTGATTGTGTCCCCTTGAGCCATGCAGACATATTGAACTGATCCAAAGATCGTAGGATTAGGGAGCCCAATCGGGTCATCAATGAGCAGTAAAAGCCTCAATGCAGTCCGTATGTCGTTGTTATTAGGAAGAGAACAGTCTTGAGCAGCTATCGGATGGATTATAAAAGAAAGGCTGAGCGCAAACAAGAAAAGAGAGTGTTTCTTCGAGCACACCGACTCCATTGTGTTCTAACTGCCTAGCTAGCTTTAAAAAACACTATGCCAGCTCGAGCCTTGCATGCAAGCAATGTGCGCATTAATTAGAACAAAATAAATTTAAAATTTTGATCTTGAGGCTTGGTCAGACTACCATGCACAAGTTTCTTTATATTTAGATCACTTCAACCTTTGTGTGGATCCTTTGCTCTAGCATGGCCTTAGAAGTTAATGGGCAAAATCTCCTGCAATATTGCACTTCAATGATGTAACTGTTGCAGCGTGGTTGTCTATGATAATTTGAGAATGATATCCTCTTTTTCTCCTCCATCTTGATTTCTCTCCACCTCCTCCACATAACAAAATATTTTAATTAATTTGCTGAGCAGAGCATGAGGAAAAATGAGATCATAGGATAATATTTCCTTGATGCATCTGTATGCCGTATGCCAGTGACCTATTTTTTAAAGTTGTTCCAAATACCATGTATTGTATTGTAGTGCTTGTCAGCTCATGAAGCTCATGCTGCCATTAGCTCAGTTTGCAGATCCCTGATGCATAGAGTATATTTCAATGCTGTTTGAACTATAGAAAGAGAGAGATGGATGGGAAGAGAGGGACAGATAAAGCCCACAATATAACATGTACATGTACATATACTGCATTTACAGACATTGTGCATGCGCATAAACATCATTATAATAAACATTGTGCATGCAGTACACACATGAATACAGTATCATTATTCATTGCATCCTAATTATATAACAGAAACAATATACATTGTGTGTGTACATTAAAGCATCCATGTACAGTGTAAATGGTAGAAACCATCCTACAGCCATATACCATAATAGTGGGGTTTTTCGAGGACAAAAAACTTCACAAATTTTACAGATTTTTTAAGATTCGCAAAATTAAATCACTTTAGTATGGTATAAAATGGCAGAATAGTGGAAACATGCAAAAAATAAATTCACGAATCTCCGGATACAGGTCATTTGCGAAAATTATTATCCTCGAAAAAAACCCACTATACAGTACATGTATGAACCAGAGTACTGTGATACCAAGGAGAGAGAGGGATCTGTCTTGCTTATGTTTTTTGAGTAACAAGAACTCCATTGACATTTTTTGAGAATATAATATAGTCCTTCAGTTTAAACTAGCAAAAGGACAAATGTTATGTATTATTTAAGTATGTGCTTACATTAATAGCTGGTTGTGAGTGTACTCTTGTTCTTATTCCAGTGGTTCCTGTCCCACCTCCTCCTCCTCTAAAATGACGTAAATTAAGTTCTTTAGCAACTTCACGTAGTTTCTCCATGTATGTCTCTGCCTACAAGTACACATGTAACTACACCTTCAGTTACACTCACTTACTGTTCCAGTGGAGTGCAGAAAGGTGTTAGTGATGATCTCTTGTTATCATCATCATCAATAGTGACTATAGAAATAATAATAATAATACGTAATGATGTCAGTCATAAAATGATAAATGTTATGCTCTTGGTTTGAACTGATTCTTGCTAAAAGTAATCGAGCCTTTGCTCACCTAAAAAATAGGCCAATTTCTGAAAAGTATACCCTGTATTATAGCACATGTTTTTTCCTTTAAAATGGCTCAAAATCACCCCCAATTTTTATTACATTTTAAAATGCCTATTGATGTCTTTATGCTATGTAGAAAGTTTGAGCTGATTTCCGACATAAAATTTTTGAGTTATGATCATTTTTAAAAAAAGACCAATTTCTAAACAAATCCTTGGCCATGCTTTTTTATTACCAAAAAAATGGCTCAAATATCACTTCTCATTTTATTACACTTACACTTGCCACAAAAAGCAACGCAGAATTGAAATTTGTCTTTGGTACACCAAGCTAGATCGTTACTGAAATGAAGATGTCTTCTACAAAGTATGTCCTTACCCTTGTTGTAGTAGACTAGGTCCAAAAACAATACCCATGGACTAAAGTCTACACTCTGCATTAAGAAAGGAAGAATACTTAGACTACTATGTTTCTAGTAATACTGAAACAAAAGTTACTCTTAAATTCCCTTACCTATGTAGGCTGTGTAATTGACAATAGATAAGTCAGGACCAAGGATCAATTTGTAAACATACATCAGTATTAATTAGAACCCACCCATCGTGGGTGTTTGATATTTAATTATGAATTCAATGAACAAATACCGGGTACTATTTTTAGAATGAATTAATGCTACATAATAAAATTATAACAATCTTTATAATTGTCTAATAGTGTCTGTGCTAGTCTATCAGCTCTTCTTGTATTCTCTTGTTTAATTATTTCTAGAAACAAACCAAAATCTCCCCCACCCTCCCTAATGGATGCTTCAGTAAACTAAACTAAGCAGCTCGTCCATTCTTTGATTAGCAATTAGTCCACATCTTTCATCAAGAACTTTAGTTTTCTTTCATTTGTTTATCATCCTCTTCTCATGTAGCTTATCTAGATCTACTAATGTATTTAGATCAAGCCTCTCCTAGTACATTCTGTCATTACTCTATAAAAGTATCAGATCTAAATGTATATACCTATTAATGATACAAATTGAGTGATTAGTGTGTTATTATGTTAATATCAACCATACCTTCTTCAGTCTCTCTCGACTGATACTAGCAGTAGAGGAGCTTGAGCTAGTGGTGTTTTCTGAGCCATTTTTTGCAAAAACCATGGACCACAATAGCCATTTGCTTTTTTCTCGAAACTTGGCTAATTATATAAAATGCTCATAACTCAGTCAAAAACAGCTCAAACTTTCTACATGTAGCAAAGGACATTATAAAATGAAATAAAACTTGGGGCTGATTTTTGAGCAATTTTTGGAAAAGCAATGGAAAGCGAAGGAAGAGAAAGGAATGGGTAAAATAGCAAAGCAAATTAAGTGGAATAAATTGCTTATTGATAATCAATAAGAAATTCATTCCACTTACTTAATAATTACAATTCCCTTCCACTATTTAATAATAATTACCAAAAAAGACACTGAAATAATAATCTTCGAAACACAATTTTATAAAGTTACGACATGCCAAACAAGCCTCTTTGGACCACATTTCAATATCAATGTTACCTATATAGTCTTGCTGCCTCCCAATGACTGTAGGCGGAGGGTTGAGCTGATACAATCTAGCTGATTAATATCTAGCTAGACTAAATATTATCCAGTGTGGTTTGTAATAGGGAGAGGAGGGACCAGCATACACTAATACAGCTGGTATATATAACTACCTTTTCTTTAGGGGGCTCTGTTACTACTGTTAAGAAGAACGACTTGCTCCGTTGGTATATACTCTGTATAATAAAGCCAAATGCCTTCGCATGGACAATAAATCAATAATTCATGCAATATCTTATTAAGGGTATAGGGCTTTTATTATGGCATTTGCATACAAAGTTATGTTTCAGAAACACTTTCTTTTCAATAGAACAATTAAAAACACAAAAATTTTGAAATAAACAGGCATACAAAAATCACACAAACAATGTATTAAAGTCATATTCAAAGCACATGCACAAAACCTAATAAATTATTCAATGCAGCAGTTGATTATGAGTAGAATAAATCTGTTTCACTCTATATAATGGTATCACAAAATGTTGGTAACAAATGAAATTAGTTAACTTACATTGCAATTCATTCACTATATCAGTGATCGGTACCTCTCCAACATCTTTCAATGCTGAGCACATGTCATTTAGATATGTCTCAGGATTAGCGTGGGCATAAAGAGTATTCTGCATTGCATGTACTAGCTTGGCAGCTTTTTTTGAATCAATATCACAACCATTAATCATTTCATCATGTAGCTCCTGTGCTATCAGCCTCCTGGCATTAAGTTTCCCTGACACTGTAGTCAGACAAGATGATATGGAGCCTACAAGTCTATCAGAAACTCTTCTAAACCGGTCTGAAGCACCTAAATTGTATGAGATTAATAAGTGCCAGTGATACATAATTGAAAGCATTATTTATTATAACTTTATATTAGTGTAATAATAATTATTATTTCTCAATGGCTGAAAATGTTTGTGAGGAATTAATTTTTGTGGTTACCGGTATGTAAATATCCCGCACAAGTTTTGACACATGACGTCACAGCATAAGTATAGGAATAAAATTTGCATTGGGGACAATCCCACAAATGTTCCATGGATATTATAATGCATGTATTTTTTAACATTAAATAGATTATCAGATGCAATTATAGAGAATTTTATTTAACAGTATTGTACTTAGTTTATTAGGGTTTGTCCTAGGTGCCACAATTGGAGGGTATGAAGAAACTTGAGGTGTAGCAGTTGTGCCGTCTATTAAGAAATAAAGTGTTTAGAAGGATCATAATGGAATGTGTTTTACTTGATATACTCTCTCTCATGCTTGCTCCATGTTTTTTCAATGTATCATTTTCTACATCATCAGATTCAAATATCTCACATATGGTAAGTAGACAGGCAGTAGGATCATCACTAGCCTTTATCTTGTCTGTGAGCTTAAAAGCCACTTCACTACCTCTTTCAACACCTTGCTTGGTCTTAATGGCTTCAAGCTCTTGTTTTGTAATCAGTCCCTCAGCATATAAAGTAGCAGTGACTACAGTAAAAAGTGGATCCTTCCAAAGTGTGTTAATGAGCTTTGGTAGTGTCTTTTTAAAGACCTCCTCTGCAGTCTTACCTACAGTGCAGTGCTAAAAGATACACTTTTATAAAGAGAACTCACTTCCTTCAGCCATACTGCTGGTATCAGCAAATGGGCAGGTTTAGGCTATCACCCAATTCCTTATTAGGAGTTACTATGAATGTAATAGACATTATTTATAGCATGCACTCTACAGTATATAATGTCATTATTCATAAATGGTAATGTTCATTATATCATTGGGAATAAAGTGGCTAAAAAATTGAGCCAAAGTCCCTGTACTATGGTACACGTTATCAAAGAAAATGTCGCCAAAAATGAAAAGGAGAGAATTCTCCATTTATAAAAATTATGGGTAGGACAAATTTTGGATAATTTCTTAGATAATGATAATGCATCATAAAATGCATGCTAAATATGACTACCAGAGACAGGTTCAACACAGATGCATGCTACATAGAACAGCTACACAATGATACATGTAGCAATCCAATTATGAAGAGAATTTAAAGAACATTAATGACTTAGATTTGATTGACATCTCAGGCAGGGCAGGGGAGTGCCAAAGGAAGGAAGGGGAAAAAGGGAGGTATTTGCAAGTAACTTGTATCTGCAGATACAAGTTACAACAATCAGCAGCAGCAGTGCAGTTGTAGGCTGCTAACCACAGAATCCATACAATACCCACAAAAATGTACATGTACAAGTACCCTATAGCACTTATATTTCATGGATATAAAATTTCGCAAAATTGTTCCTTCTAAGCACTTGCAGAAAAAAAATTTTGTGAAATCATCATGTTTTAAATAATAACAATAATGTAATCATAGTGGGCATGGCGCGCTGCAGTCAGTGCAAAGGTAATTTTGATGAAAGATTCGCCTAAGGATCAGGTAGAGGTGAAGTGGTCTGACTAGTAGGAGCAGGATCAATCTTCTTCAAATACCTAAACAAGCCAGCAGTAGACAAAACAAGCTAGCAGTAGAATTTCTTCTTAATGCATGTGCTGTTCTAAATTGAAGGCACGGCTTCTCGTGCACAAAGGTATTGGCAAATTTTGCCAATCAGCGAAATTTGCAAAATTCATTATCCACAAAATATGTGTTATATGGTATATGGAAACCAGGGTTAAGGAGGAAGGGCCAAGGGTGTAAAAGATGTGTGTACTCCAAGAGGCCTAGGCTATCATGATTATGATGCTGCTATTTTAACTATCATGACAATATTATTATATCATGATAATATTCCTAAACTAGAGTCGCAGTGAGTAATTAAAGGAAGGTACCCCTTATATACTAGCATAGCCTTACTTCACTGTCCCTACTAAACCAGTATCATGTGAACATGTTTTCAGTACATGCAGTGGGAGTGTTTCTTGTTAAAAATTGGGTTAAATGTGCTTTTACAGATTAATATTACATGGATTGATAGGTAGAATGACTGCATTCTATTAAATCATTGTATTTCCACATGTAAACACTGTGGCTAAACTATCATGATACGTTCACTATTGTGATAGTAGAGTTAGTAAATATTGTGACAGTGATATTACTTACTATCGCTCAGGCCTAGTGTACAATAGTATTTACTGTTTTACTCATAACTTAACTTACTTATTAGGAAACAAGTCGCACATAATGTATTAATATAAACACACAAACACACATATACACATGTACAACTAAATGCATAAAACAAGTGCATGCATGTACATGTACATGTTTGTACTGTATGTAGTACTCTATATAATCTACATGTACGTGTATATGTACATACACATAAAATATGCACCATATGAAGAATTATTCTATAGAAGCCATACAGATCAAAGGTAAGCGCATGGTTTATAGTGGATATCCAATGATATTCATTGAATATCCACTATCAACCATGCTTGGTGCTATGCTATTGTTCTGTATGGCTTCTGAATAAACCAGTTATGACACTCTACTGTCGTCTTTATCTGATATATACACTCGAACTATATTCATAATTCCCTCGGGCTACGCCCTCAAGAATTATGAATATAGTTCGAGTGTATATATCACATAAAGCCTCCAGTAGGGTGTAATAACTAATACATGGACAGTTTTTGCAATTACTTTGATTCTTAACATAAGAGCTATAATTAGTACTATTATCCCTCTCTCTCGTTTGGTAAGAAACCATATTAATTATTAATAAAGAATATGCTTAATGATATTCATAATCACTAATTGGTATGTATGAGGTACATGTAAATTGGCGGACTACCATAACCAGCAGCTGCTACTACAGGATACATGTATAGCAAAGATATTGATTTAATGATTGCTGTTATAAAATAATTGTACATCAACAAATTTGAGTTGCAGACTTGAACTACACAGTATAGGGACATCAATAAGTGTCAGAAAATATAATGAAAATTGGATGTCATTTTAGCCATTATTTAGAAAAACCATGGGCTATAACCTTGGATATTTTCAAAAATGCCCATTTTAAAAAAGTCACAACTTGAAAATTAAGCTCAGACTTTCTACACAGCATTAGGATATCAATAAGTATCAGAAAATGTAATAAAAATTTGGGGGGGTCATTTTTAGCCATTTTTTGACAAAAGTCTACCCTTGCACAATGACACATGATTGAAAATATTTGATATAAACTACACATACTTATGATCAATAATTAAAAACTGGTCAAACCTGTTCCTTCAGTTGTCTTTGGCCTTTGTGTCATCATTGCAATACGACACTCTCTACCTCCTTCTCTTCTCTCTTTCCCTCTCTTTACTGCTAAAATTACGTTTCATTGGTACTTGACTAGATACAGCAAACTGTTATCTTCTTGTATGATCATTAACCAGTGATAGCTCCTGCATACATGAACACACACATGCATGCATAATTAACAAGATACATATAAATGTACTTATACCATGTAGTTACTAAAAATAAAATATAATATTAATATATGTACAGTATATGTAGTGACCAGTGTGTTTGGAGGTGAGTATCAGCAATGTAATACCTGGGTCCCTTGATATCTGCCCTCAGCTTCACCTCAAGCAGGCATCCCATACACACACAATGAAACTTGCTATAGCTTCCCTTGCCCTTGGTTTCCTATTGCGAAGCACAATAATTGTAATACATTATATTAATACTCTTACTTCTACTGATGCTATAGTTTGTAGATCCTCTGATATGTAGCTGCTCTGAGATGAAGGTCTAGCATATCCAGTAGTATGTACGAATGCCTCTGGACTGGGACTCCAAATGATCATTGAGCTGTAACACTGCTGGTGATTTCTGTACAAATACAGAGGAAAAGGAGAGGATTTAGTAATTTAGCGTTTGATGTGTTGGAAGTTTGTATGGCTCTCTTAATTGAAAAATTGTGGCATTATGAATAATGCATCACTTTAATTTAGCGTCATAAAAACTTCTTTCTAAATTAGATAAGATTAGTAGAGGCACAACAGGGTTCAGACTAGAAAAAAATCAGAGGTGGTTGGAGACTAATATTGTTCCCTTTAAATTTATGTACACCATACCTGTCCATTAGACTATAATATTATGCTTAATGTATGGTTATTAAATATATTAATATAAATTGCATGGTTGGTCTAACCATCTAAGTGATGAACTGGTTGCTCATTTGGGGTTGTCCCAATAACCGCTGACCACCATAGGCAGAACTATGACACAGTTAAAAGTGAATTAATACATTATGTGCTAATGATTATACACATATCATAAAGTAAGCACAGATATTGTAATACAAGAAGAAATAATTTCTTCTCCTAGTTATTAGGATTTTGCGGTGCTACTGAAGTTATGCTGAATGTATTTTCAGTACACATACCAGTGACTGTATCAGTATAATAACTGTAATAATGATTGTTAACAATATAAAAGAAATAGTAATTAATAACTAATAAATAACAAGACAATTATTACCCTTAATTATCACAAACATACAAGAATCAATGTTCATCAAATGCTAATTCATAAGGATCATTAAACTGATCAATATTACTGCCTTTACTTCCAAACTTCTTAACAAACACACCATCACTAGTGAAGACTGATATAGGACTATTGCTATGCTCACTAACATACACGTACTAGACAAGTAGCTGCAGTTAGCTTTATAATTTTAATAAAATAAAGTCAATATTATTAATATTAATTTTTAGCCTATGAAAAGTACAAATACAAGTACATGTGTTACCTTTTCGTTGTTGCCAAAGTGATCATTAATCAATCCATTAAACTCATCCAGTTTCAACAAGCCCATCGCCTCAATATGAACAATTATCAGTCCAGGAATTAGGATACCAATATCACACAGAATCACACACACACACAACAGAGCTCTGCTCACAACAATAAATATACTTACCAGAAGTAATAAAGTTTTTAATGAGATTATGGAAAATACAAGATCTTTGATGACATTATTGATATTAGTTTATACTGATCAGCAACATATACTTATCCTTTACTGTCAATAGCAATGCTACATGGTAACGAAAACCATCCATTAGCTGATCCTTCACTACCAAATGAATGTGAGAAGGTTAGATCACTATCAGCA